CTCATTTTATAGCCAAAAAATGCAGCATCTTCCTATACCTTCAAGTGTATGATGTTTACCCCCACTGTGATACAGTTCCCCAGATTAAAACATAATAATGCCTGTGGTTGCTGCTATAGTTTGGGTGAGCATAACTAAAGGTCTATGTGTTAAATATTTAGTTCCTAAGATGGCACTAACAGAAAAGTGCTGTGGACTTTTAATACATGGAATCTGGTTCAAAGTCCTTAGGTCACTGAAGGTATGCCCTCAAAAAAGGAAAGTGGGATTCCAATCTCTTCCTCGCCTTTCTTTGTCTCTTGGAGTGAGTGATTTTGCTCTGCCACATTCGTCCATCGTACTGTGCTACCTTTGCCAAAGGCCTAAATTCATTGAGCCAGAACATTCTGGAGCAGAACCATGAACCAAAGTGGCTTTTTACCTCAGTAAAGTAGTAAATACTTTGGAAACCACACAAAAAAAAGACTTTCTAACTTTGCCACCTCAGGCATTTCTAAATAGTAACAGAAAGCTGACTAATAAAGTAGATTAGTATATTCATATATGTATTTTAAAAGTTGGGTTGAAAAGGAAAAATAATACAGAAGAAATGATAAACTATGGGATCCAAATTTTCTGTGTAATATCCATCTTAACCAAAAGCAAAAGTGATTAATGATTAGTGATTTATGTGCAGACCATAATAAGCTGCTTCAGGGACTGCTGGGTAAAGCCGCTGCCCAGCACCTGCCACTTGAATTGTCTCCTCAACAATTGGAAGCTCTCATACCACTCATAGGAAGCAAGATTAGTCATGATCTTCTCCACTGAGGGAAAAGCCCTCAACTAAATCAGCCAGCTACCTAAGAGGTTGCTAGATGACCCAGAGTTCCAGAAGTCATTTGTCAGATATTCCTTTTCTCATCCCATACCCAATCCACACCACACCTGAATATCAAGAGCCCTCCCTCTGTTTCAAGTTAATTACAGGTATCCTGAATTGGTGGTGGGGGAGAAATTATGTGGAACAGTTTGATTAAGGCTCATTAAAATTCAGGGCACTGATAAGCAGTGTATCTGTTGACCACTTGTCAGGCTAGTCGCTCAATGTCATTGTGTGATCTTCAAGGTCAATCTCTTTGTCCAGTAATTTGCCAGTGTCCAGGCAAATAGGAAGTCATGGTCTGGGGGATGTGCCTTTTTCCCATGTACTCTCCTAAAATTATATGTGGTTAATGCTTTATGCTCACTTTAGTCTCTAGATCCAGTTTCAGCCATGCTTACAGCCTTCTTCTAAGCTATAGCTACCCTAGCTGAGGTGACCTTTACCTGGTCTGAGATAGAAGAAAAACCAGCACAAAGGACTGTCACACTCTTTTTTGCAATTTATTTTCATGACATAAATAATCCTCTGAGCTTTCCTTGACCTTCTTTATAGAAAATTTATTTTTGGAAACTTCTAAACACTTTTAAGACTCAATGTTGAAAGTGAAATTTCCTTGCAAACATGCTACAACAATCCTAATTCTTTGTAGGTAATTGTGAAGGTCAGTGTGTATAACAATGTTCTGAAAAGCCAGGAGTCGGTGGCTCACACCTGCAATCTTCGCTGCTCAGGAGGCTGATATATCTGAGGATTGAGGTTCAAAGCCAGCCAACACAGATTAATCCAAGAGACTCTTATCTCCAATTAACCAGAAAAAAAAAGCCAGAAGGGGAAGTATGGCTGAAGTCATAGAATGCCAGCTTTGAGCTCAGGGACAGTATCCAGGCCCTGAATTCAAGTCCCAGAAATGGCACCAAAAAGAAAAAGAAAAAATGAATGTGCCACTCTTGGTGCTAGTGGTTTACACCTGTAAACCTAGCTACAGGAAAGTCAGTGAGATTCTTATCTCCAATTAACCACCAGAAAACTGGAAGTGGAGCTGTGGCTCAAAGTGGTAGAGCACTATCCTTGAACAAAAAGAGCTCAGGGACAGTGCCCAGGATATGAGTTCAAGCCCTACAAAAAGGAAGAAAGAAAGAAAAAAAGAAAGGAGGGAGGGAGGGAGGAAGGAAAGAAGGAAAGAAAAAAGAAAAGAAGAAAGAAAGGAAGGAAGGAAGAAAGAAAGAAAGAAAGAAAGAAAGAAAGAAGAAAGTTCTGAGGTACCATGTGATTTTTTTTTGTTGCTTTATATGTCCCTACCCCACAGTATAACCCCTGTTTTCACTATATTTGATGTCGGTATAATTTGGAGAGGGGAAGAAAAAAAACAAAATGTTTAAATAGTGATACAGGTTGACCCATTGCAACAATGAGATGTACAAGACATTATGTCGAAAAACAAACTTTAAATTTAGGCAGGGGTGGGGGAGTGTAG